TTCTTAAAACTTAAACACAGAATTATCATATGACCCAGCAATTCTACAGGTAGATTTATATCCAAGAGAAATGAAAACTACCCCAAAATTGGTGCACAAAGAATCATAGTACTCCTAACATCCAAAAAGCTGAAATAATCCAAATGCCCATCAATTGATTTTTTAAATGTGGTGTATCTATACAACAGAAAATTATTCAACCATGAAAATGAATAAAGTATTGATACCTACAACAACCATGGGTGCTCCTTGAAAATATTATGCTAAGAAGCCAGTATAAAAGACCAAATATTTATTCCATTTATATGAAATGTCCAGAATAGGCAAATCCATGCAGACAGAAGGTAGCTTTGTGGTTGCTATGGGGTTTCTTTTCAGGATGATGAAAATGTTCTATAATTAGAAATATTTGCACGACTCTGTGAATACACTAAAAATCAATGAACTCTATACTTTAAAAGGACAAATTTATTATCTATGAAACTGATTCACTCACACATTGCCAGAGCAACTGTAATATTCTATAGCCACTGTAAGAAAAAGTTTGTTTATTATAAAACTAAACATTCAGGGGTGCCTGGCTGGTTGTCTTTAGGGCATGCAACTCTTGATCTCAGGGTTGCAAGTCTGAGCCTCACACTGGGTGCAGAGATTACTTAAAAAATTTTTAAAAATAAATAAACATCCAATTATCCTAGGACACAGCAATTGCATTATTGGGCATCTATCTTAGAAAAAAGAAAACCTATGGGCACTTGGGTGGCACAGTCAGTTAAGCAGCTGCCTTCAGCTCAGGTCATAATCTCAGGGCCTGGGACTGAGCCCCACATTGGGCTCCCTGCTCAGCAGGGAGTCTGCTTTTACCTCTCTCTCTGCCACTCACTCCCCCTGCTTGTGCTCTCTCACTTGCACTCTCTCTCTCTAAAAAATCAATAAAATCTTTTTTAAAAATAAAGAAAAAAGAAAACCTATGTTCCAAAAAAATCTGCACAAGTGTTCATAGCAACCTTATTACAATAGCCAAGACTGGACACAGGCCAAATGTCCGTCAACAGGCAAAATGTTGGCCAAACTGTAGTACATCATTCCATGGACTACTACTCAGCAATAAAAATGAACAAACTACTGATACATACAATTTGCATTAATCTCCAGAGTGTTATACTGAGAAAAGAAAAAAGAAAAAAAGGATCCAAAAAGATTATAAACCATACAAGTCCATCTTTGTAACATTTCTGAAATGGTGCAATGTTTAAAATGGTGAACAGATTAGCCACTGTCAGTGGTTAGTGGTGGAAGTTACTAGAAGGGACAGGATATGATTATTAAAAGGATCCTTGCGCAAATGGAACTGTTCAGTATCTCCAGTGGTGGTGGATACAGGACCCTATACATTTGTAAAAATGTACTGAACTAAACATGCACAAGTCTAGGGAAATCTGTGTAAGATGACTGGATTGTATTAACATCTATATATCAGTGGTGATGTACTACAGTTTTGCAAAATGTTACTACTGGAACAAACGAGGTAAAGGACATAGGAATTCCCTATTACTCCTTACAACTGTAGTTATTCTATAGTTAACCTCAATTTTAAAAAGTAATTGCCTCTCAGGGACAGAATTAAGTACAAGAAAGAATATGGCAAGGATTGATGATTTTCATAAGAAACTTCTTTGTACTATTTTATCTTATTTGTAAATGCTTACATAAGCATATTATTAATGGTATTAAAAAAAGAATGAACACCTTTCTCCCTAAAATAAGATGCATATATATTATATATATTTATATATATAATATATATATAAATAAAGTACTTGACATATAGAACATCTTTGATAAACGTTAGCTCTCTTTCCCTTCCATTTTAAGGATAACGTAGACTAAGATGTCAATACTAAGTAGTCTAATTCTGAAAAGTGAAACTATTAAGTCATTCAATGAAATTATCAAGGGCTAAAATCATAACCATAAGGTATTTCTACCAAGATAACTATAAAAGAATCTCTCCCCATCACTGAACAACTTTAAAACTAAGCTCCCTCTTCCTACTCCTACTTTAGCAAGCTGAAAAAAGTAATTCCAGGGAAATCTAAAAGCAAAGCAGTGGAGGATGTACAATAGGTCTGTCCTCAGGTAAAAATCCTTTCATTATCATAGTATTTTATTATCTGCTTTCATTACCACTAACATTGAGTGCTACATCATTTCACTGCATTCTCATTATTTAACCCTCACAGTAATGCTAAAAGATATGGGTATTATTCCTACTTTACAGACAAAAAAAAACTACAACTTAGAAATGTTAGGTATATTGCCCTAGTCAGAAAGCTGGTAAGCAATATGTCAAGATTTTCCTCGTGTAGGTCTAATTCCAGAAATAACGATTCTAGCTACCGACCCCGCATTATCTCATTTTGACAAAAGTGCTTGATGTTAACTATAATGTGCACCTTCTACATAAAGAAGGTATGACTGGCTGAGTTTCTGACTGGGTATCTGTGAATTCTCTGAGTATCTGGGAATTCACTGGGACTCTCTTAAGTCTCAAGCCCATTCATTTTATCAGTCACTGGCCTGCTCTCAATCACGATGTCTCCCCTACCATTCTGCACTCTACGGCAACTCCAGCATTGCCTTTCAAGCATTAAGACTCCTTCCCTGCTACAAATTCACTTTACCAACCATCAATCCATAGGGCTAATGACCCCAAAATGAGAACTTCCTTCCTGTTTTATTACATGTCCTCGGGCAATGCTGGTAAACACTCTTAAATCATTCCTTAGCTCTCTACTCACACACTCTTACGTACACACATACACACAATCACATACATACATCAATTCCGTACCCACAGTTCCCTTTACCTCTCCATGTTGCTGTCATAGTTCAAGTCATCACTTCTTTCCCTGAGTTCCCCTTCCCTATGGTCTCAGAAGAAAAATGTTCTTATTCTCCAAAATTAATCCCTTTCTGTAACAGAATTGAATCTTTCTCGTAAAGGGTCCTTATTTTATCTATTGGTTCCATCCCTCCTGCTTCAAAGAAGCAAAATGTTTTCCCTTCTTGAAAAACACTTTTCACTTGAAATGTAGTCCTGTGTATTCTTCCATTCAAACTGCATTAAATTAATTAAATTGCATTTAATTTATACCTACCATCATACCCTTGCCATTATGCAAGAAGCACCAGAAATAAAGTTTTTTGATGACAACCCAAAAGACTAAGGACGGAGGGTGTCATTAGGAAGATACAATTTCCCTTTACTCCCTTTTAGGGTCTTGCCAAGATAGTTCTTCCTCCAGTAGGTAAGTGTGGAGAGAACAGGAAGAGCTATAATTCAGTCTGAGGAGGCAAAGGAACTGTGAGTAAAGGGGAAGATCAGGAAATCTCAAAAGGTAATTTAGCAAATGGAAGAGAAAGGGAGTAATTGTGGTCATTGGTTGGCATTTAGCAAGGAAAGGGAACATAAAGCATAAAGGAAAAAAAGAACTTGAAGGGACAAAGGCCTAAGGCAGGAGGGAGAAAAGAACTAAAATACTCCTGGCCTTTGAGCAACTGCCTGCCCCAATCTCTCCCCTGGGCTGAAGTTTCACATACCTGTACATCCTAATACCAGGTAAGAATCAATGAATTCTCCTCAACCTTTCTATTTTTCAGAGGTTCAACTTCTGAGTCACCGTTAATTCTCCCCTCTGCATCCTTCAATTTCCAGGTGCCTAAATCTCATCTTCCTCTAATAATTTATCATCTAAGTCCTCTCCCAATACAATTCCCGATTCTACCACTGTAGTCCATGATCTTACCAACTTTAACCATAAGAGTCCAGAAAGATCTACATAGCTTGTCCAAAATCACAAAATTAGTTGCTTGCAGACCTGAGGCTGGCCCCCAAGTCTTCTAAGGTATTTCCCTATGTTTCTTCAGAGTTAGAACACCTGCAAATGTTCTGAATTAGTACCGCTTCCATTCATTCAACAGGTAATTATTGGGAACTTAATATGTACAAGTGATTACGGCAGATGCTTGTGGGGGACACCGGGTGAAGACATAATCTGAGAACGTCTACATCACAAGGATAGGTTCAAGTAAACCTAGAAAGACATGAAGCTATACGAATAATAAAGACAAAGTTCCACAGGAATGCAGAATAAAGTTTATTTACAATTGGGACGGTCAGAGTGAAGGTGAGATTGGGGGTGGATCTCGACAGATGACTAAGGTTCCAATCAGCAGAAATGAAAGAAATGGCATCACTCCAAGCCAAGAACACGAGCGAATACCAAGAGGCAAGAAAGTACAGTGAGCACAGTCACTTGCTTTACCTAGAGAATAAATAATGAAGAAAGTTGTAAAGTCAAGGAGTAAGGGACAGCCACACCACGGAGGCCACGAATCACAGGTTACGGGAACCTGAACGAAAGCAAGGTCTCGTTATTTTCTATATGTTGGCACATTGAACACAAATGAAAAATAAATTTATAAAAAAAAAAAAAAAGGATAAAAGAAAAAAAAAAAGCAAGGTCTCCAAGTGACTACCTGGGCACAGAACCTGGCTTCTTCACCGAATTGCTTTGTGACCTTGGACAAACTACTTAACCTCTTTGCTGTTGCATTAAGCTCCTTCGTTTTGAGGCAATTCAGTAAAAAAGCAACAGATCACTAATGCAATTATTTAAAAACGAGGGGAGCACGGCGGGGGGGGGGGGGGCTCAGGGTGTGACCCCAGGGTCCTGGGAGGGAGTCCCACAGCCGGCTCCCTGCAGGAAGCATTCTTCTCCCTCTGTCGGTGTCTCTGCCTCTTTGTGTCTCTCATGAATAAATAAGTAAAATCTTATTAAAAAAAAAAAAGAAAAACTGGTAAGTTCTTGAAAACTGATAGAATGAACAGAGCAGAATTGAGTCTCAAGCCAAAAACCAAGATTTCTAAGTCAGAGTGTAACCGGAACGCTGACAGGAACTCCCGGTGGCCCAGGCGCCGACTCCGCGCCACCCACCTTGAGGAACGCCACCGGGTCACGGAAGCAGCCGCCCGTGTTCACGAAGCTCCCTCGTTCCAAACCCTGCATAAGCTACACAACTGACCCCCGAGTGACCTGCTTCCTCCTTCCGGCGCCCCAATTCCCACTCTGACGCCCCCAAACCCCAGACTCCCCCCCGACTCCAGGCTCGCTCCACCTCAGGGCGGCCCTCGGGAGTGCGTGGACGCTGAGCGACACACTTCCCACGGGCGCTCCGCGGCCCCGCCCCCCGCCCCGCCCCCGGGAGCCGCTCGGGCCGCGCCGCTAGCAGCAGACCCAGCCCGCGCCCCGCCGCCACCGCAGCTCCCAGCTCCCCGCAGCCCGCCGGCCGCCGGGGAACACGCGGACAGGGCCAGGGCCCCGCGGCGGCTCACCCCTCACCTTGCGGCCGCCGGGCATCTCCACGCGCCGCCGCCGCCGCGCGCCCACCGCCCCACAGCCGCGCCCCCGCCGAGGCGCCGGAAGGCTGCGCGCGTCCCCGAGCTCTCGCCGCGCCGCGCGCTGCCATAGGCCGGCGCTCGGGCAGGGGGCGGGGCTCTCCGGAAGCGCCGTCCTCCCAGCGCGGGGCGCCACGCGTGCGCTGCGATTGGAGGACGCTCGGGGCGGGGCGGGGCTTCCCGGCCACCGCGCGGCGCGCTGCCTCCGGCTGTGCAGTGAGCATGCGCGGTGGCCGCCTCCTCAGAGCGATGAGCCAGCTGCGCTGCGGCTGCGAGACGGCCCTCCCGGGGGCGCGGGGACGCGGGGGACGCTGGGGGCGCGGGGGGCGGCGGCGTGGGCCTGGGGCGCTGCTGCGGACGGGCCTCCAGGTGGGGGGGGCTGCTGGGCGCGGGGGGGGGGGCCAGGAGGGCGGCGGCGTGGGCCTGGGGCGCTGCTGCGGACCGACCTCCAGGTGGGGGGGCTGCTGGGCGCGGGGGGGGGCCGGGGGGGTCGGCGGCGTGGGCCTGGGGCGCTGCTGCGGACCGACCTCCAGGTGGGGGGCTGCTGGGCGCGGGGGGGGGGCCGGGGGGGCGGCGTGGGCCTGGGGCGCTGCTGCGGACCGACCTCCAGGTGGGGGTGCTGCTGGGCGCGGGGGGGGGACCGGGGGAGGGCGGCGGCGTGGGCCTGGGGCGCTGCTGCGGACAGACCTCCAGGTGGGGGGGCTGCTGGGCGCGGGGGCGGGGCCAGGAGGGCGGCGGCGTCGGCCTGGGGCGCTGCTGCAGACCGACCTCCAGGTGGAGGGCTGCTGGGGTCAGCACTTGGAGTCTTTAAAGCTCTTAGGAGGTCCGTTCTAAGCAACGCCTGACCTTCAGGAAACCTCGGGCTCCTGGGGCAATGACACTGGCAGTTAAAGGTACTGCAGATGGGAGTTACAGGTAATGAGCAGAGCCAGAGGAGATCCACAGAGGCCCAAAACAGCTTAAATTCCCTTATAAAGGGAGGATTTTGGCAGCAAACCGTCAGACTCTTCAGACCTGGCCCCCCTACCTCTGACCACTTCAGAAAGGCAACTGCCACCAGATTGATCTCCAAACAGCCCAGATCCCTCAGCGCCTGCATGGAGGAGGCCCCTCCCCACTGCAAGTGGCATCACAGGGTGAAAGTATCTTTGGGTTTGGAATCCTGAACCTGCTTTATAATTGTGATTTAACTTTGATTTATGATTGAATAACGCTGACACTGTGGAAAGACGCAACTCCTAGGTGTGCACCTTCGCCTCCAACGCTTGATCTCAGCCCAGGTCTTAATCTCAGGGTGGTGAGTTCAACCCCAAGGTTGGGCTCCACGCTGGGCATGGAGCCTACTTAAAAACAACAAACAAAAAAACCTTGAAGTAGCCTACACATTCAGTAACCGATACTTAAAGAATGGTCCTAGCTGCTGAAACCAGAAGAAAGGAGTGTTCTTTCTCCATCTAAGGAAGTAGGGGTGGAGGTAAGGTTAGGTATCCAGAGCAGAAATTCTCAAATTTGGGAGACGTTAAAACCAGCAAAAGGATTTTTATAACAGGGATCACTAATTTCAGATTCTGTAGGTCTAAGGTCGTGCCAGAGAGCTTGTATTTCTGACAAGTTCCCAGATATTTGATGGGGAGAACAAAGGTAAAAGAAACATAGAAAAAAAAATTAGACTTCTTACAACTTATACCCGAGAAGTACTTGATACCAGGCAGTGTGACCTTCCTCAAGGAGCTTAACTCCCTCCATGTTAATACTTTGCTAGAGGTGAAGGCAACCTTAGCTTCACATTAGCCTCACTTCCAGGATCTTCTAAGTCTTCTAACCTAAAAATCCCTTTGGAAACTTCCTTTATCTCTACCCTCCGCCCAAGATACATGTTAGCAATCATCCTCCAAGCATATCCTCACTGTTTAGAAACAGTCTTAGGACTAAGGTTTTCCTGGACAATAGAGTAAATGACCTTTTCCTAACAACAGCTAGCCCCTCAAGGTGCTGGAAACCTTGTTTCCAAATTCCACAGAGATTTACCCTTTCCCTAAATCCCTCCTCCTTGAAAGTGTATAATCAGCCACTCCACAACCCCTGTGCAGTTCTTTGTGCCCACGGGTCCTGTCCCTGTGCTTTAATAAAATGGTCTCTGCACCAAAGACATCTCAAGAATTCTTTCTTCACTGTTCACTTCCAAACCCCAACATTTTCACATCAATATTGTTGGTGCTGGTCCTGTAACTCACTTGGAGAACTACAGGTAACTGCCATTTCTTAAATCCCACAAGGGTCTCAGCACTTTGAGAAGTAAATAGAACACAAAATACAAGGGGAAGAGCTGGGACTGAGTAGAAACAGAATTACATCGCAAGGTCTATGTAGGAATATTCTGTAATAAGTGTTGAAATAAAAAAAAATTGTAGAAAACTAAAACAATAATTTAAGCAAGTTGGGGAAGTGTCAGCCTGGGGAAGAGAAAAGGATTCTTCTTCGTACCCTCAAAAGTATAGTGGAAGTAGAGTTTGGTCTTGTTTGAATTTATCCATTTGGCATTGTTGCCTCAGTTAGGCCTTATGACACAGTTTGACTTTTTTTTTAAAAGATTTTATTTATTCATGAGAGACATAGGCAGAGGGAGAAGCAGGCTCCCTGCGGGGAGCCCCATGTGGGACTTGGTCCCAGGACCGCGGGATCACACCCTGAGCCAGTCAGATGCTCAATCACGGAGCCACCTAGGTACCCCCAGTTTGACAATCTTCCCGTGTCTTTGCTTTGACTCAATTTTATATTTCCAAAGGACCTCTCCATGCTGCTCAGCCATAGCCCCATTACACTACCTGTCATTGCCACCTGAATGTCTGAGAAGTTCTTCAACCTAAATTTTTCTCATCCCCAAATAAGATAATTATCCACCTCAGTAGTGGCAGTGACATCCACCCAATAGCTCATGCTCGTGCTGAAACCTGGGATTTTCATGAACACTTTTGTCTCATCCAAATCCAGCCCGTCCCACCTCCCAGTTGTAAATTTCTCACCTATCCGCTCCTCTGCTGCCGAAACTGTATTCCAAGCTTCTAAATTCTTTTACCCAGACTACTCAGTAGCTTCTGACCGGTATCCATGAATCCACTCTTGCCCCCAACTTCCACATACATAGACTCCATTCTCCACATAAACGTTCTAGCAATGTCTATGCTGTCCATGTGAGTCTTCCTTTCAGTTGCCAAGTGTACCCTGGGGCCTCAGTGTCTATGGATTTGCTACTCCATTTGCCTGAAAGGCTTTGGCCTCCTGCCATACAGAACTATTGAAAATTGTTGACCTTGGGAGATAGGTACATACAGATTTATTTATTCCTTCTACTTTTCACACATTTGAAAATAATTTATAAAATTCTAAATTGAGATTTTTTAAAAACCAAAAGAAAAGGAAAAGAAAAAAAACAAAAACCCAGAATTTGATATTAATTTCTCTAAACTCCCAAAGCTGAACCTCCCTGTTCATTTTTACAGACCCTACACTCCTTTGAAGATGTTATAATAATAATAATTAAACAGTTATAATAATATTACCTGGCTCACCTCTGCTCTGTAAGGTTACTGACATATCCCCAGCACTTAGCACAATCTTCCAAATATGAAGTACTAAAATTTTTGCTATAAATGAATATTCATAATTTCTAATAATTTGCTTGAAGTCTCACAACTACAAAGAGTTTAGGATTAGAACTCCTATGAGACACTGAGGTCTGTGTTTTCTCCACTCTCATTCATAACATACTATAATTGTGAGGAATTCTCAATTGAACAGAGATTCAGCAAAAGTGAGTTAATTATCCATAAGAAAGATAAATGCGGGCTGGAATGCATTTTTTAATACCCCCCGGTCTTGTCAACAAATATTCGATGCCAAAATATAAAAACAAGTGGAGAAGTTTTCTTTTAACTCCTTTCTCATCAAACTTTCTTTTTTTTTTTTAAGATCGTATTTATTTATTCATGAGAGACACAGGGAGAGGGAGAAGTGGGCTCCCTGCAGGGAGCCCAGTGGGAGACTCCATCCCAGGACTCTGGGATTAAGGCAAACAAATGCTCAATCGCTGTGGAGCCCAGGGGTCCCTCTCATTGTGAATTAAATGACTGGGGTGGGTTGGGTTTCAAAGAAAAAGCTACATACACCCTCCTCATTGCCCAAAACCCAAGTAGTTTCTAGAGGAACTACTTTGAAGTAGTTGGAAAAAGTATGGTCAAGTGGTGACTAGGGTTAGGGTTGGGTCCAGAGCTTGGCTGGCATTGGGCCAACCTCCCAGCAGTGTTGAGTTGAGGGCAAGGTTAAGAGTAAGGCTCGGGTGCAGGGGGTGCTGAAATTGGGACTGGTCTCATGGGCCCTTCAGATAGTTCAAGCTCTATCTATCTGCCACTTTCCCAAACGGCACGGTATCAATCGGTGGGTGGTGGAGATTTCTGGTGTCACTCCTGTGTCCTCAATGCCTCAGGAATTAGAACCAAACCCTGGGGCTGGTTGGGGTTAAACTACTGTTAAAGTCCTGGAGCATGCAAGGTCCTATCTGCCTCCATGGTGGAGACCTCCCCAGAAGGCTGAGTTTAGGGTGAGGCTCAGGCTCCCAGGCGCTGGATATTGGCCT